CTTCACAGCTGATGTATTCCTTCTAAAAGTGGGCACCCCAACTCACAATGAACACCTCAAAGTTCATTACAATTACCCTAGGGAATTGCGGTTGCCTCACCTACCAGAGAAGGAAAGTGATTAAGACAAGAGCCTACCACAGAAAGTCTCTAAAAGATTCCACCCAGCGCGTATCAAAGCAGATGCTGAGGCTCATAACCAAACTTTGGGCAGAGAGCAGGGAATCTTATGAAAGAAGGAGGATATAGTAAGACCTGAAAGGGACAGGAGCTCCACAAGGAGAACAACAGAACCAAAATATCTGGGCGCAGGGGTCTTTTCTGAGACTGCCACTCCAACCAAGGACCATTCATGGATATAAATTAGAACCCCTGCATAGATGTAGCCCATGGCAGCTCAATGTCCAAGTGGGTTCCCTAGTAATGGGAACAGGGACTTGTCTCTGACATGAACTCAGTGGCTGGTTCTTTGATTACCTCCCCCTGAGGGGGGAGCAGCATTGCCAGGTCACAGAGGAGAACAATGCAGCTAGTCCTGATGAGACCTGATAGGCTACAGTCAGATGGAAGGGGAGGAGGACCACCCCTATCAGTGGACTTGGAGAGGGGCATGGGAGGAAATGAGGGAGGGAGGATGGGATTGGGAGGGGATGAGGGAGGAAGATACGGGTGGGATACAAAGTAAATAAACTGTAATTAATATTAAAAAAAAGTAAAATAAAAAAAGAAGCAAGACCAAGGTTACACATAGCTTGTGGGCAAAGATCAGATTTTAAATTATCTCCATTTTACTGTGCTATCACCTGATTTTGTTATTGTTTATTGTTTACCTTCTACTTTTCAGCATAGCAAAAAGGTTACTAGACAGTCTTGAAACTATGCATTCTAAATAATTATCATTTTCTGGGTGATTGAAGAACCAGCCTACCTCCATTAGGTTTATAAGCCATCTTATATTAAAGAGAAACCAAGTTCATTCCTGTTTATGATTAAACCTCTGTGTTTCAAGGATTGGGCTATGCCCCACCTGTAACCTTAACTACAAATGGTTCTTTAGTGCTGGTTCCAGAAATGGCAATCACATCTCTGTTTCAAAAGCTGTTTGTATACATTTTGCAACCCTAACTGTTTCCAAAGATTAATGACCACTCATGACTACCTGTTAGGCCCACTTTACAACATATCTTTGTTTCTGGAGACAATATTGGACTAACTTGTTATAGTTATGTTTGGCTCCTGTAATCCCACCTATTTTGCCTGCCAAATCCCCCACTTGGAGGCCCCCTACCCCTGAGCTATAAAAGCCCTGTCTTCCTCACATCCAATGTGGATTTCTCAAGCCCAGCCTTGGGGGGAGGCAGTCCATATACACAAATAAAAAGCTTGCTTTAATTAATTCCTTGCTTTAATTAATTTGGTCATGATGATTTGGGACTGTGGTATTTCTCCTCCCATCTTTGAGATTAACAGCAACCTTAATCTCTGCTTAAAATACTTGAACATGGTAAAATTTTCTCTGTTCTTCCTTGTAAATAGAAAGGATCCATTATTCCAAGGTCCACATTAAAGTCACTGGCCCAAAAGCTAAGAATGACATAAAAAGATTAAACAGAAAGACCTAAAATAAAATATTAACTATAATCAGATAAAGGGTCTCTTGCTGTCCCTCTCACTCCCACTTCTGGTTCTTGGCCTGGAAGCAGGGGTTTCCAACAGTCCTGGTAAGCATCATCAATGAGGAGTCCTGGAAAGAACTGTGTCTGCAAACATTGGTCAACCAAAAGAGTGAGGTGGAGCTGTTGGGATGTGGGAAGCCCAGATGCTAATTGCCTTAGTTCTGACTAGCTTTAGCCTCCTGAATAGACCACCTCAGTGTAGGAATTTACATCCTCTGTTTAATAGAAGAAAACTTTTGAAATCTATTAATGTAACAGAATACTTCCCACCAACCGGAAAAGCTAAGAATATCTTAGAAATCATCAAAAGCCTATAGGAGAGATTCTCCTATCTTGCTGTAACCCACCTCTGATGGTTGCAACACTCTATCCACAAAGTATCTTGATTTACAGATCTTTGTTTTCTTAATGTAAACGCTTCATGAAAGTGCTTCCACATTGGAACACTGAATCTGGGTGAACTTAAATCTGTGTTCACAGGACATGGCCATTCAAATTTGGCTCCAGAGTAAACTATCTATTATTCTCTTTGAGGTGGGAGCTGTGTTTTTGTGACCACAGTACACATTTCAAAACAACCCAGGAACCTACACCACCGAAACTATGAAGTCCTTTCCCAAAACATGGGGACCTCACTCTCTAAGGAACTTCTCTGTTGGAGACATTTCATTTCTCTTACGCAGCAGTTGCATAATATGAGGCTGCCAGAAGAAATACAAAAAGCTCAGCTGAATTCCAATGTTACGTAAACGAATAATTTTCTATGTATGTCACAATTATTGTCTAGAATATTCTGTATAGCAAACAAACCTGCCCTTGAAAATGCTAGGAAAACTGAAAAGTTCTCCGAAAAGAACTTTAAAGGTCCTAAAAGCAAGTCCTGGATTAACATATTAAAATAATGAGATACTGAAATGGAAATTGTGCATAAAAACCCTCAGTACTTTACAGGCTAGCAACGGGAGGTCCTAAGAGCTGCAGAACCTGTGTCCTCAAAGAGACTGCTTTCTCCATAAAAGGACAAGGAGCAGGAAATGCCTTATTCTTTTTGAATTCGCAGAACAAGAAGGTTTGTTATTGTTCATGACATCATATTAGAAAAAACAAAAAACAATTAGTTTCTGTAATACCCCTTGAAAGAATTAAAATGGATTTGAAATTCAGAGCTAGATTTGTAAGCAATATGTTGCTTTCCAGCATCAAACTCTATGCAGAATTCTCTTTAAAGTGACAACATTTAATTGAAATCACAAAGTAAATCCATTAAGCCTTAATTCTTATTCTAAGTTAAAAGTTTATTCTTATTCTATAGTCCCTTCAGAGCACAAACAAAGCAATAATGACCACACTCACTTCCTACTAAGTAGAATACACACACACACACACACACACACACACATAAAGATGATAATTAACAATAATAAATAATAAATAACAATAGGGCTGAGAAGATGGCTGGTTAAATGCACCTGCTTCTCAATCTTGAGGAGCAGAGTATTAGTCCCAGTTATGCCTGTAACTCTCTGCCAGCTCTAAGGGATCCTTCACCCTCTACTGGCCTCTGCAAGCTCTGGTGCCCACACAGATGGAACAAAGGAACTGTTTTCCAGTTTCTTAGACTGTGGGCTTTGACCCTCAATGTGAGGGTTGCTACAATCTCAGCAGGAGGGAAAAGTCTCTGGATGAGCAGTGGTAAAAAATTACTTCCAATTTATACACAGTGAAAAAGTCGTGTTTCTGACACCACTTGCCTGTGTTACATCACCAGCATTGGATCTTGTGATTTCTACTGGAGTCTTGTTCTAAGGATACAATATATACACTTCATCCTATGCAAAGAAACACCATCAGCAGCGTCTCAGCTCAAATCCAAAACTACTGCTATGTAATTTCAGTGTGTTCAGCGCGATACAAAGTTTTAGTGCTCTTTCAAAACTGTAATATTTTATTGCTCTTTCAAAAATCTAGTAGTTTGATTACAAAACCCAACTACTAAAATATTCCTACAGTCATTCTTCAGCACACAGACATCCCCTCAGTATACCTTTGGACTGTATTAGAAAAACTTCAAACAATTTGTAAAGTGACCTTAAACATATTTCTGTCATTTTGTATTATTTGTATAAAGTAGTGGGGGTTTTTGTTGTTGTTTTGGTTTTTTGTTTGTTTGTTTGTTTGTTGAGCTAGATTTTCACTGCATAGCCCTAGCTGTCCTGGACTTGCTCTGTAGAACAGGCTGGCCTTAAACTCAAGAGATCTGCCTCCCTCTGACTCCCGAACACTGGAATTAAGGGCAGGTGTCACCACCTCCTGGAGACTAAAGTAGTCTTTTTAACATTAACAATAAATTCAACTTACCAAACAAATCTGAAAAACACTGAAAATGTTCTATGTTCTATCATGTCTAATGTTCAGCCAAGACTTAACACTTTGTATAAAAATAAACTAGCATATCCATCTTATTCCTCTGTGAGTTTGCTTGTCTTAAATAAGTGGCAAACTACCAGCATGCTGAAAAACTGTTTGGAAATAAATTTATTTATAGTTCATTATTAGTGAATGTTTGAAATAGACATGTATGTATGTACCTCTTTAGGCAGAGTCATGTAACCAAGCTCTACGAGAAAAATGCTTGGTTTCTTTAAGCTATAGTGATCCCATAATCCTGCCATAATCTTGGAACAAGGTAATATTTGAAATCCCTGTGGGAATACACAAACATTAAGCCTGGAAGCAAAGGTCTTAATTGGCCTCAGGGTAAAACTTCTGATAATCGCTCTGTGTTTTGTCTCTTCTATTCTTATACACTAAAAACAAAGAAAAGGTGAACATGAGTCATTGTTTAAGCATCTGACTTCCCAGTACTACAAAGGGATGTTTTCAAAAGTCAGGAACAGTCCCATTTACAAATAACAAGCAAGGGTTTCCACTCCAAGGAGTCCAGCATCTAGATCAGTCATCAGCTGTATTATTTTTACAAATACACATCACGGGCAGTTACTGGATTAAATACTGATCTTGGCGAAGAGGAAAAAAAAAAAAACCGAAATGAAACCAATAAAGATGGATGAATTTTACAAGGCAGAATTATTCTCCTGCCACCTTAAAAATCACTGAAAGAAGCACCGGAAGTACCCGAGAAATAAAACAAGCAGTGATGGAAATCTTGCTTGGTAGAGAAAGGTCAAAAAGCACGCTCTCATTTTAAATTCCGCTCGAAGAAGAGCAAATCTGCTTCTTTTTAATTTTTTTTTTAAGTGGTGGCAAAGAACCAAGCATGTTGATGACTCAGGAGTGCAATGCTCCAGAGGCAACAATCACTTACTTTGTAAATAGTAGGTAAGAGCTGCTTCATTTTCAGCCTGTGGAAGACAAACACATCATAAACGGCGGAAACGGCCAGGACAGTCACTCCTTGTTCCTTCCACAACATGCTGCATCCTGCACACAGTCCGGTGCCCAGGAACCAGCCCCAAGTTCTGGCCGAGTAGCCTCTCGTAGAACAGTGCTTAATGTAGCAGAGCAAGGAGAGGAGGAAGAAGAGACTGGCACCCACGTCCGCCCGTCCTACGATGCCCGCCACGGCTTCTGTGTGAATGGGATGAGAGGCGAACATCAAGCCTGCCATGCAAGTCCAGTATCCGTCCCCAAGGAGGACCTTGGAGAAGCGCGTGAAGAGACCCGTGACGGCTGCATGCAGCAGGACATTGACAAGATGATAGCTCCAGGGATTCAGTCCTCCGATGGCATGATTCAGCCGAAAAGAAAGGGTGCAAAGCGGCCGGTAGGACTTATGGCTACCACTGTGGGTTAGAAGAGTCCCCCAGAAATCATTGTAGAAGATGTGTGTCCATGGGGTTTCTGGAAGCAGGTCCTGATTAGTCTTGATAGCACGGCTGAAAAACAAAATATATTTAAAAATGTAAAATACAAGACAAAAAAAGAAAAGAGAAGAAATTGACATTGTTGAGATACTATCTTTCCCAAAGACTTGTCATTATACTTTGTAGTAAAATTGTGAGTACACAGAGGTGGAACCCAGACCATCCCCTTAATACCTGCTAAGGCTATCGTGAAGACTGCTTTTCTACGCTGAGAAGCCAGCTGCTTGATAAGGAGTCTTTGATGATCAAATAAAAGCAAGGATTCTATCAGTGTTTTCAGCCTTCTGTGGCTGCTCCCAAATAATTTTTATGAAACCCTTGTAGAACTCTGGTTGAAAACATAGCCTTCATTACCCTTCCAACAAGGTGTGCAGGGAAAAAGATGGAGCAGAGATTGAGGGAATGTCCAACTAATGCCTGGCCCAACCTGCGCCCCCCCCACCCCCATGAGAGAGAGCCAACCCCTGATACTATTAACAACACTCCACTATGCTTACAGAGGGGGGACTAGCATAACTGTCCTCTGAGAGGCTCCACCCAGCAGCAGACTGAAACAGATGAAAAGACCCACAGCCAAACATTAGGCGGAGCTCAGGGAGTCTTACGAAAGAGTTGGAGGAAGGACAGAAGAACCTGGAGGGAGCATTAACGCTGTAAGAAGACCAACATAGTCAACTAACCTAGTGGCTCACAGAGGTCAAATCACCCACCAAAGAGCATGCATTGACTGGAACTAGGTCACCCACACATATGGGCAGCTTAGTCCTCATGTGAGTCTCCTAGAAATTAGGGCAGGAGCTGTCTCTGGCATGGAATTCTGTTGCCTGCTTTTGTATTACTTTTCCCCTAGCCAGGTTGCCTTGCTGGACTTCTGTGGAAGAGGATGTGCTTAGTTCTGACGTGACTTGATGTGATGAGGAGGGCTGGGGGTGGGGGAAGGAGTCCCTTTTCTGAGGAGAAAGAGGGAGAAAGGGAGAAGAGGATGGAAGGGCAAGACTGTGAGGAGAAGGGGGGGGGCTGAAATAGGAATGCTAAATAAATAAATAAACAAACAAACAAATAAATAGATAAATAAATAATGAAGGCATAGCCTTCAGGCTGGTTGGCAGCTGCCTGAGATGATGCCTTTCTAAGATGGCCCAGGTGCTGCTCCTATACACAATGCATCTAGGTCCAGCCTCAGCACTTCTGAAAAACAAAGAGATAGATACGAGGCCCCAGAGTAATGCTTCTCTTACCCACACATCACCTGGGTATCAGGGTAATGAGGGCTCTCTGCAGCAGGACTGCAGAGAAGGCAAAAATGCCATACACTGATATGGTCATCAATTGTGTCCATGCTCCTGGTCTGCAGATCACAAAGAAGCTATGCCCGAGAAAGCTGGGAGGGTGAGAGAAGATGTTTTTCCACCTACCTGGGTTTGCCTGCTTGCCTTTATTTATACTACAGCCTTTCCCAGTTCTGTACTCTATCTACAGGTGCTGCTATCACCTGTAAAAATCATAATGACACTTCATTGTCATCTGACTTGAATATATTTCCAGGATTATATGCCTCATACTTCCATTAAATATCAAGAAGAAAGGATCTACTGTTTACTGGGTACTTGCTTTCGTTCAAGCACTCTAATCCCCTTGGTTACATCTTCTCATTTAAATATTGGAACAACACTGACAAAATCTTGCTGTTATCTGATCTCTTACTATCGACATCACTCAGGTGAGCAAATTAAAGCTGAGAAAGATAAACTAGCAACTGATTCAACGTTATACGTGTTCGGAATAGTAGTACAGAATATCATGGTTTGTGTTCTTTTCGTGATTCTCAGCTTCTCAAAATGTAATCCATATACTACTGGGGACATTTAAGTAGCTATAAAAATTTAACACTGTTAATGGTTATCTTTGCTTTAATGCTTATTTAAAAGAACATGTAATTATCCCATCAATGGAAGATATTAGCAATCCTTGTTCAGAATGACACCGCTGAAATTTTTAATGTAATGTCAAGACAAATATTAAATGATCAAATGTGTGCTTAATTCAGAATATCTAGAGGATAGATATATAGTAAAGAACCAGGAAGGAGAAGGGGATCTTCCAAGAAATGGGAAACAATATTATAAAGGGATAACAGGAAATTAGAATAGAGTTAAATGAGGAGAGGATTAGAAGACAAGGCAGAGTAGGGAATATAGGATAATTTGCTAAAATTAACATATGTGTAGGTCCAGCCCATACATGGTTCTTGGTTGGTACTTCAGTCCCTGAGAAAGTCTCCCTGCCCCACTGGGCCCAGGTTAGTTGTCTTTGTTGGTCTTCTTGTAAAGTTCCTGTCCCCACCATGTCCTTCTATTCTTCCCCCAACAGTTCCACAAGGTTCTCTGTACTCTCTGCCCAATGTTTGGCTGTGAGGGTGGAGCCTCTCAGAAGACAACTAGTCTGGGCTCTGGTCTGCAAGCATAGCAGAGTACCATTAATAGTATCCGTGGTTGGCTCTTTCCTTCAGTGTGGGTCTCAGATTGGGTTAGGCATTGCTTGGATATTCCCTCAATCTCTTCTCTATCCTTATCCCTGTACATCTTGTAGAAACCTTCTACTGTAGAAGCTTCCTAAAACATATATAAAAGAAACTTAAATGGACTTAATAAAATAGCAGAGACAATGGCCCAGCTGGCATCATATGCTACCAACCACCAGGAATGGATTACATCTCTTTGAGTCATTAGCCAAAAGGTTCCTATAGCTCTCTCTTGCCCCTCCAAACATTGCAGGCTACTGCCAATGCTATGGTTAGCCTCCACAACCTAACGGTAAAACCCAGTTGCTGAAGACACTACATACTTATAGCATCAAACATGGAGAAGTAGAACAGGCGGTCAATTAAAAGCTGTGCCTCTACTGACCAGCATTCATAGTGCTGGAAGGTACTTTACATGCTACTGAAAGAGAAAAATAACCATTCATCAATCTCACCCAATTACCAACCCTGAAAGGCACAATAGTTAAGTTCCTGCAAGATATACCCACCTACTGGTATTGTAGTGGCAGAAATGTTATAGAAGAAACCAACCACTTTTTCCTTAGCTTTAAGGCTTGCTTCATAAGACAAAACCCATACCCATTTTCACTATTGATGAGGCCAAGAACCTTGGACAGCATGCAGAAGACCTTCACTAGTTCAAGCTGGACAAAATTCTAGCCAGAGAATGGGATGTAGGCACAAATAGAAGGAGTTTCTGTTTCTGGGAGAGGGAAAATCAATTTTCTTCAATGGAGTGACATTATTTCTATCAACCAGAATGCAGGAAAGGCCTCTTGCTCAAGAATAGCTGTCTAACACAATAGACTCCATTGCTCTTTCTCTGGGTGTTTGTGGGGGGGGAATGGCGGGAGAGTTGTTAATTTTTTATTTCATTTCTGTTTTAATTTCTTTTTTAAGAGAGAAAGAACATGAAATTGGATGGGTAGTGGGAAAAATCTGGGAGGACCGGGGAGGGGGGAGTATATGATCAAAATATATGAATTTCCTGCGTAACTTCAAATATCAAACAGATTAAGAATCTCATCCAGGGGAGTACAGCTAAGAGAGGGATGGTAGGGGAGTGAGCACCCCATGGGGCAGAGAGGGCTAACCAATGCAAATGTTTAACTGAGTCTCTAACTGGCTCTTCTATAAACCCCCCTGAGCTTCTGTTTCTGATACACTTTTTCATTGAAACCACTTAATGAAAACTTGTAATTATTCATTTACCTTCAACACAGAGGTCAAAACAGAGGTTATGACTTTATAGACATATGAGCATCCTAAGGGTACTAGTTCAGGTGACACTCTACACTGTTAGCTGTTATATTAGACAAGGATCAAGGTAAAGTCTCTCTCTATTTTTTTTAAGTCCATCATCATAAAGTCTAGGAGACCAGTGAATTTTGAAATTAGGCATATGTGGATTTTAGAATAAGAAAAGGTTATCAATTATTGGTAGTTATCTACCCTCTGCCCATCTCTACGCTAGCATATTATCTATTTATGAGAAGTAATTGTTTTTAGATGCTCGTTACAAAGACCATTCTTTGTAAATTGTATCCAAAAATTACCTAATAGAAATAGTTCTGTGCTTCCCCAATACATAAGCCTTTCCTCTTTCACCCTGATAGAATATTTCAAGCTGGGAACATTGTTTTCTCTCATATTTTCTTCAATGTTAAATATGGTCACGAGACTAACTTTGATCTATTACTTCCAGAAAGCATCTTAAGAGACGGTTAACCTCCCTTCTCCCAGGTATCTCCTTTCATGATATGGACAACCACTGAGCTGCAGCATGCAGTCACCATGGCTCAGAACAGAAGTTGCACACAGCCAATCAAAGTAAACAGAGGAGGGCAATGATCAGCTGTCATGGTAGAGGCTAGTCCTAAGTTAACTGTCCCATTTCTCTAAAACTACATTGCTATTTCTTCTAAGCAATGATTCTGTGTTAACTAGTATCAGCAGCTGAGCCTAGACACAGCAAAATCCTTTGTTAATGGAAGACCGACAACATCACAGTTGTTTGATTTTCCATTTTGATTTTTCAAGTCTCCGTGTATCGACTGTATATTAAATGAATTTCCATATAAATTGGCTTTTAAAATATTAGAAACAGATGTTTTTTCTGGATCCATTAAATTAAAACACCCTGCTATGACATTCATCAAGAGTCTAACCCAGAAGTAATTGCTTAAGACTTGATGGGTTATAATTAAAATTTAAAAGAAATATGAAGAACTGACAGACTGCCAAACAGTGTTGTCAGAGAGCGCAGATTTCAAGTAAATCAGAATGAAGCTCCACTGGCTTATACTAGGCATTAACCTCGACAATGACGTGCACGTCTCTAGTATCAACACAGAACCACTGACGTGTCCATGTCCGAGCCTCAGAGCTCAGGGCAAAGCATCCTGGGATAGGGCCTTTACTAACACAGTGAGAAAAGCTGGAAAACACATTACTTAAGATAATGCTTTGG